TATATATATATATATATATTATAGGTGTTCACAATATCATTATTCATCAGAGTAAATAAGTTTATACTTCCATGGTCCCACCTATTTATATATTTGAGAGTCCTCATGAGGAGCGGCTAATATGAGTTGGCAGACAAAATGAGTGTGATCATTTTTGAGATATATAAGATGTAAGCTTAATGACCACGTGTAATTTGGTTTCAAATTTCTATTTCCAAATTCAAACAATACATACCATGTATATTATTGAACCAAGACAAGAAGGGTTCTCTCAATTAAAAACTTAAAAGTTGAGGTTAGCATGCTGGATTGGCCCTCAGCAAGCGTTCCAGTTTCTCATGTGGCTCCTTTGCAAATTAATTGCCCACCACTGATCCAAAGTAATATTGACTGTGCATTGTTTTACATTTAAATATACAGGAGAGGAGGTTTTTCATTTTGTCACCAGTGTCAATTTATTTTAAACGTGTCGCCCAGCCCAATTTATAACAGATTGATTCATCCACTGAAGATTTCATCTGGATTTCACTAAGTTAGACATTTTGTTTTTTTCCCTCCTTTTATTTGGGCATTAGCAGTAGTTTAGTTTGGCAGTTGATCAGAAAATTTCATTCCTTCCATTAGCGACTGGCCATAAGTGCACCAACATTAGCAATTGGATTAGCTTTAGTTTTATAGTTTTAGGATTAGGTGATAAACCTAAGAGGGAAAACACATGATAAAATACACTGGTAAATAATGAAGTAGTAACAGAAACGTAATACACAAGCTTGTTAAATCTGTAACATCAAGCTTTAAATTTCCTCCCGTTTCGCATTCTACACAATGAATCTAAATAAACCTGTCACTGCTGTTAAAACATTACATCAAATGAATAATGTATTTAAATGCTGTCATTGCCCTTTAATATGAAATATTTGAATGAAAGTTAGATTCATTTAAATGTATTTTTCAATTTTGAAGGATTTTATTCCTAGTTACAACAGAGCACAACATACAAACAGCAAGCAACCCGGACACTCGAGCGTTGACTCAATGACCCGCAAAGTCAGCCAGCGTTAATAGCTAGGTTGAGGCGCGCAAAGTATGTTTTTAAGGAACTGCAGGCAAACCTCCGCGGACGGATTATTTAAAGTTGGCAATTGTGAGATCACAGTCTGTGAAGTTGGGACTTGGAGACCGCCTCCTACCCAGATTCTAATGCTTGGGGGCCCCCAGTCACTGTTGCCATCACAACCCCACCCCCACCCACCTCCCCTTCCCAGATCGACAACGGTGGTAATAACCAGTTTTCATTATCATTAAAGTTGTATTTTGCCGATTTTGTCGGTCCTGCAAGCCACAGCATCCTCAGCATTTGCCTGTGTTGCCAAATGGGCAAGCCGGCGTTTTGCATGTCAGGACACTATTGTGTTGCATAGCACCTCCATAGCCTATTGTCCTGTTTGGAGAGGACCCTCAAATGCTATAATGGGGATGTGTTGAGTTGTGTTGTGTGGAATCACCTCAACTGGTACTAGTGCTCGGTCCTGTTTCTAAATCTCTAATACTACATCTGTGCTAGGACTATCCATCCTGGACGCCTCTAATCCCCTAGACAACTAGTTCAATGAATCTTGAACTCTCGTGACTGTCTGGCCGGATCAGTTAGAGCGCTGGGGCATAATCATTTCAGGAAGCTGACGTTTAACCTATATTCAAGCATCGGTTGGGATGAGTCATCCCAAACTGGAGTTCACTTACGGAAAAAAAATTGTCATGAAATTCCACACTATTTATTGTATTTACTGTCTTTTCCACAAGTGCGTGTAGCCTCAGAATTAGACACACACCAAAAAGCTTTTAAATAAATGCTGACACATTTTACAAAGTACAAAAGCTGACTAAAAGGCATCCTAAACTAAAGTGTGCTGATCACAGGGATGGTGTGTTTTGATTCATGTCGGTCACCTATCGCAGCTGTCCCTTTATATACTCCCGATAATGTGGCGCTTTTGTCGACCAAAGGCTCGTCGATCGATCTAAATCTCCCAATGATGACGGTGCAAAATCAAATTAGGACAACGGTCACGATCTTACCTCACCACATGCAGTCGACGCCCACAGCTGAACACTTTTCCAGCTGCAGGGCGGTACTAGTGCTAGGTTACATGTGCAGAATCCACTCCCTGGAGCATTGCCGCCGCGGCTGCTACTGCTGCTTCTGCTGCTGCTGTTGTTGTTCCCAGAAAAACAAAGGGACTCCAAGGAACCACCTCCCCGCCGCTACACTATGCATCGGAAGGCAGATATTTCCCCATCGGACAGAACTCTTTTCTAGGTCATATCAGAGATGAAATGTAGATCAGTTATCATCCATGAGACATGTTTTCATGCGTCAGTTAACATTTTAGTGTATTGTGTTAAATATTACAAACGGGTGAATGCTCCCCCACCTCCGCTTGAAGTGGGTTGTCCCTCCTCTTCATCCATCTTTATCATCCTCATCTGATTATTTCAAGCTTCCATGGCTGTATCCTCAGCTGGTCCCATTTAGACAATTAATGATACATTCACTGCATTACTACCAAATTGTAACATTATCATGAAGCTTTATTGTTTCCCGTACAATAGCAATGATGATCCTGCGTGGGTTTTCTCCGGGTACTCCGGTTTCCTCCCACATTCCAAAAACATACATGGCAGGCACTCTAAATTGTCCCTAGATGTGTTTGTGAGGGCAAATGTTTGTCTATGTGTGGCAACCAGTTCAGGGTGTGCCCCGCCTTCTCCCCAAAGACAGCTGCGATCGGCTGCAGCACATCCGCGACTCTCGTGAGGACAATGGATGCTAGATAATGGATGCATGGATGGATTCACGCTACTTTTGCACCATAGCATATGGTTCAGCATGTGGTTTCAATTTGCCCTTCTTAAAAAAAGCTGATTTCACCAGATTGCTAAGGCCTTGCACCTTTTGAGAGACACTAACATTAAACTAAAAAGAACAAATTTATCCATCTATTTTCAACACCGCTTATCCTGAAGAGTTGCTGGGGCCTATCCCAGCTGACCTTGGGCGGAATGTAGACTACACCCTGAACTGGTCATCAGCCAGTCATAGAGCACATCTGGAGACAAACGACCATTCACACCAACATTCACACCGTCACTGAGTGGGAACCGATCCCACACTGGCCGCACACAAATGAGGCGAGTGTACCGCTACACCATCAGCGAAGCGACTTCCCACATCTTTACAATATATCATCTGAAAATATTTCAACCCAATGTTTTTGAACCTGCTTTGACTTTCACCTTTTGCTCCTTGGCTCAGGTTGCAAGATTAAAGCACTGCGAGCAAAGACCAACACCTATATCAAGACTCCGGTCCGAGGTGAGGAGCCAATTTTTGTCGTGACGGGCAGAAGGGAGGATGTGGCGATGGCCAGGAGGGAGATCATCTCAGCGGCAGAACATTTCTCCATGATTCGAGCTTCCAGAAACAAGAACACCAGCATAAATGGCAGCGGTGCTCCAGTTCCAGGGCCTCCTAACCTACCTGGACAAACTACCATCCAAGTGCGAGTACCTTACCGCGTAGTGGGTCTTGTTGTAGGCCCCAAGGGCACTACAATTAAACGCATCCAGCAACAGACCCACACTTACATTGTGACTCCCAGTCGGGACAAGGAACCAGTTTTTGAGGTGACAGGGATGCCAGAAAATGTGGACCGAGCCCGTGAGGAGATTGAAGCTCATATCGCAATGAGAACAGGGGGTCTTATTGAGGTGCAGGATGAAAACGACTTCCATGCCAACGGAACAGATGTGGGTTTTGATCTCAATGGGCACCCCGCTGTGTGGTCAAAGCACAGCGTTGGGATGACACCCACGTCTGTGCGCAAGCCCTTCTCCAAGTACCGCAATAACTCGTCCTCCTCCCTAGGAAGCGCCTCCACTGACTCGTACTTTGGTACTAATTCCCGCATGCCAGACTACAGCCCCCCTAGCCCTGCACTTAGTTACACAACCAATAACATGAATAGCAACAATGACAACAATATCAGCGTCAACACAAATGGCAATGGCTTCGTTTTTGGAAATGAGTCAATTTCCCCTGACTGCACTGATCCGACTTTCGATTCCCCACCAGGGCTTGACCTCCCGCCGTCCCAACCAGCCATTTTTTGGTCCCAGTGCGAAAATCGAATTAACCCCACTTTTACTGGAGGCAGCTCTCCCATCTCCACGCCAGATATGTTTCCCGCCAATTCCAATGGCACAGTGCTGAATCAGAGAAGAATGAACAGAAACACGTCCCAGTCGAGAATGTCACCGCCCCTCCACACTGGTACCATCGAGCACCAGTTTGCACGAAGGCTCTGCACTGACCCGAGTGAAGACTTGCGCAGTTTCCCCGGTTATGTCCACACAGTTGCCTCCCTGACAAACTCTCACCTTCCTTGCGTTCCATGCGATTCTTCTGCCTGCTCCTCTTCCTCCTCCTCCTCCTCCTCATCCACCAGCCGTAAAGGAAGCCGCGACTGTTCAGTGTGCTTTGAAAGCGAGGTCATTGCAGCACTGGTCCCCTGTGGGCACAACCTCTTTTGTATGGACTGTGCCAATCGTATCTGTGAGCGAAGCGAGCCTAAATGCCCCGTCTGCCACACCGGCGTTACTCAGGCCATACGTATCTTTTCCTAAGAATGACTCACTCTTCATATTGCTTTGACAGAATCGATAATCGTCCTCAGTTTGGAACGTGTACAAAGGATTACATAGGAGCTGTATGTTTGAGGCTGTCATGTGAAAAGGAACAGAAACACTTCCTTCTGGGTTTGTTGGCTTGAGCAAAAGATTGTACTGTAGCTTGGGGAAATATTTTCAGCATCGAGATGCATGTGTTAGTATGAAAAAATAGTTATCAATAGCCCTTGTCAGTTGCAACTAATATTTATGTGACCGGAGACATTGGATGCAGGTGTGTGGAGCCCACTTAAGGCTGGCTGCAGGCTGTGCCATCGAGTTTGCTCAAAGGAATGTAATAAAGACGCCTGCCACGAGCTGCGGAACTAAACAGGAACGAAATGAACATTAAATTAACAATAAATACATACCAAGACACTTCAGTTCCTGTTTGCAGAGATATCCGATAGAATGCATTTTCTTGAACTCTTAAATGACAAGGATTTTTTTTCTCCTTTTTTGACTTGAACAAGCATATTTCTTACTGCAAAGATGTTTACAAATATTGTGAGTTTCGTGAAGCTCGGTTGAAATTTTGTTTATTTTTTAGTAGGGCCTAATGGCATCGATCACTGTACACATTATTTTAATACCATACTCGTGTGCGGGTGAGAACCAAACGCACAAAATATGTTTTGCATTTTGTAGTGTTCCGATGAGATGAAGTTTCAATAGGTTCAGCAACACTTTAAATCTGCTTCACTTTGCATATTTTTTGTTTGGTAATATAAAGCATATTTTATTGTACATGTTTATGAAACATTGAAATGTGCAAATCTTAGCGAGGTGAAGACAAAGATACATTTAATGCTTTCTTAAATTTGTATGTATTGGATTTTGGTGGGAATTACAGGATTCTGTTGCACCACTATAGTTTTCGTATTTCTATTTTGATACATTATTTACCACTTGTTTATGTATTTGTAGTTGTTAGTATAAATGCACTTAATTTTAAGAACAAATATATTTTATTTTATGATAAAGGACCTGGAACCTCACGGTCAAACGCTACTTTTATATTTCTTGAGACAAGATTTGAAAAAATATCAAGAGTTTTTATTTTTCTGAAATGTTATATGTGAAATGTTATACATGATAAGTAATGGTGCTACTTCATTTTATTTTATTTTTTAAGTATTTCTATACAAACCAAATAAAAAAAAAGAAAATGTTACATTTGAGGGGTGGCAGTTCTTCCAGACTCACAGTGTTTTCTGCTGTTCAGAGCAGGCACTGTCACATTGACCATAGTGGTCCCAAACAGTTGTCAAATTCAGAGGGGAAGATGGCATGCGCCGTGAAGACCGGTCAACACATTTCTGGTTAATTAAATTGCATTTGAATTTGAATAATCATTCTCTCCCCAGAGAAAATGTGTGTGTGGATTGTGTGTGTGTGTGTGTGTGTGTGTGTGTGTGTGTGTGTGTGTGTGTGTGTGTGTGTATATATATATATATAGATACATATATCTATATATATATATATATATATATACACGGTATATATATAGATAGATATACGGTATATAGATAGATAGATATACAGACATACCTCGGTTTTCGAACGTCTGTTCTCGACCAAATCGGTTTTCGAAGAGAAAATTCGAGACTTTTACGCCTCGGATTACGACCAAAAATCGTTTTTTGACCAAACTAAGCAAACCTAAATACGCCACTCGACTCCTCTCGGCTTCCGGTTTTGGACCAAATTAAGCAAACTTGAATACGCCACTCGACTCCTCTCGGCTTCCGGTTTTCGACCAAACTGAGCAAATCTGAATATGCCACTCGACTCCTCTCAGCTTCCTTACACGAGGAAGTGACGCTTCCTCGTGTAGACGAGGAAGTGATGCTTCCTCATGTAATGGGAAACATGTTTTCGGATTATGGTCGAAAACCGAGGTATGACTATATATCGATATGTATAGATATATAGATATGAAAAACAAGTGTCAGAAGAACCCCAGTGGCCTAATTTGTGAAGTCATGATTAATAATTGAATCATTGGTTTGTTGGTGACATGTCATGTCATTCTAACAGTCAGCAGAAAATGTTCAATTTGAGTGCTTTCTCAAATTGATTAAAACAAATGGCACTTTTAATACTTTTGCCTCAAAAATTATCACAAAATTGTTCGCGTCTGAGAATAAGTGTTAAACTCTAAATTAACAATTATTTGCTCTGAACATCAATCTAAAATCATTAAATTGATTTTTTTTTAAATTCTTGACAGAAAAATCAGCATTTTAACTGACAGGAAGGTGAATCGATTACCCTATCAAACAGGCATATTTTGCTACAATATATTTTTCAATTTATAAAACAATATACAAAAAAGGATATTTTGTTTTCAAAGTAAACTAACGTCAAAAAAGAGCAATAGCACGGAATCGCAACACTTTGAGTGAATTGTGCAGTCTCAGAATGATTTTTCAAGATGAGCCTGTTTCGTACACCTTTTTGCTGTGGTCTGCTAGAAGTAGACGCCTTGCCAAACGCTCGTCTCTTGCAGAAACATTTTTAACATAATAAAGCATTACAAAGTGAGATTTTTGCTCCTAAATAACAGTGGCTTGCATTTGGTGTCAAGGAGTACTGTAAATTGATGTAAAAAATTGTATATAAAATACTTTGTATTTCGCACCCACAAATTCTCATTATATAAAAATAGGCAAGACTGAATCTTACTTCTAATCTATCCAGTTTTTTTTGAAGAGATTGCTAGCACGTTTCGATTTACAAGTGTGATTTTGTGTGCTATAGATATGGGTTGCATGGAGACTGTCTTGTCTTGTCTAGTCCAGGGGTCCCCAACCACCGGTCCGTGGACCGGTACCGGTCCGCCGGGCATTTGGTACCGGGCCGCACATAAAGAACTTGCCTTAATTCCGTTTTATTTATTTCGGAATACGAAAGATGTTCTATTTTGAAAAACTACCGGATTCTCCGTTACATCCGTCTGTGTCACGCTTGACACACGTCAAGCCACGCTTCTCCATCACGTGACCGATTACTTCAAAACAAAACGCGGGAGCTCGCAAAATGAGTAAAAAAAAACTGCTGGAGATCGCAAATGATGGCGGCCTTAAAAGTACGTTCGAGACAACTGGATTTAAAGTTATGGCTGAATACTCTGAGATCGCCACAATAGCACTGTTGCTATTTCCGACATCCTACCTATGTGAGGGGTTTCTGCAGCAACGGCGACGGAAAAAAAAATTACGAAGTAGACTGGACATACACACTTGAGGTGTCATTGTCTCCTATTACCCCGAGATGGGACCGTCTGGTTGCAGAAAATCAAGCTCGGTGCTGTGGTGAGTCGTCATTTTCATGCACTTTGAATTTGCGTTGTATCGTATTTTGAAGGCATTAAACATTGCCATAGCGAT